CAGAGAGGAAAACCCAGGTTTCACTTTGGGATTGAGGTGGCTCAGAGCCAGGCTCGATCCTCCAATGTACTGATTGGCAGTCTGAGGAGTTACCACTGCACCATTGGGAAGTACAGGTGAAAATGGAAAAAAAACACCTCAGCGAATGGGAAATGAATAACGGCGGGAAAAGGCAAACAAAGGGGACGCTGAAAGCAGCATGCTCAAACAAAGGCTGAGATAGAAAAGTGAAATAAATGATAATCAGAAAACAAAAAATACTTCCTCTGTGATGAGAGGAAGGTCAGCTTTATGTTTCACCTGTTTGCTCTTTGTGGAGCAAACACTTTTTGTATGGCTTGGAGCCGTTTCTTGTTCAAGCCTTGTTCAAGGCTTTTAAGTAGTTTTGGGGCAATTTCTCTCTTTTGTTTTTTCCAGCTCTCTTTTGTTATTTCCAGCACTCTTGACTTTCCTTTCCTTTCCTTTCCTTTTCTTTTCTTTTCAATAACCACCTTGGCTAAGTACCGTACCGGTCACCCCTCTACAAAGGTGTGACAATGAGCTGCTGTTTGCCCCAGCCTTGAGTAGAGGAGTCCACAGGTGTGCCAGGTTGGGCCTAATCAGCCCAATGGCTTCTGGGAATTGGAGTTCCCTGAACTTGTGGTGCCTCAGGCTGGGCCCTTACAATTAAACTCACTCAACCAACCACTGTTGTCTCTGGTGTTGGCAAGCGGACAACCAAGCTGAGAACTAGAACTATCTAGAACTTTTCAACAGACGTTACTTCATTATGTATGTTGCTGCATCTCCAAAAGCAGCTCAACCTCAATTATGGACATCCGAGCTGTGTGCAAAAGCTCATGAAGTTTCAGCTCCTGAGTGAGGGGATGAAATTCTCCGAGCTCCTTTTGCTTTTCCAAAATGGAAAGGTTTGCCTGTTTTGTGAGGAGCAAACATTTTGTTTAGCAAAGCAAATAAAAGTGAGTTAAAGTGGCTTAAAAATGCTTATGTGAGGTATTCTGTGGATATTACAGTGAAAAATATGGGGAATAAATATTTCATTGATTTTATTTTAGATTCTTTTAGTTTAACTTTATAAAAAAACATTAAAAATCAAACATATTTATTGGCCTAGTAAAAAGAAAAGCCAATTTTTTCCTTATATGACCAACAAAATTTACAGGGAAAAAAATAAAGCTTCTGGAATAACACAGTGATATTGTGGCCATGAAGTCGCGGTACACCGTTACTTTACGGCTATATAGAGCTCGGCTATTGATATGTACAGCTCTTTATCAGCGGAGTATTTGTTCAAAAAAGGCCACATGATTAGAATAAATACAAATAAACAATACAGTGTGTAAACATCTCTCAAGTTCTCCTTGAGGGAGTCCAATAATTCCAGTTACCATCCAACACCTGCTTCCTCTAATTAATCCTTCATTGCTTTAAATCAGGTGATCTGGTGGAACTCAACAAATCCATGCGATAGCTGGAGTGCAGCGGGAAAGCCAGGAACCAAACCTGCCTTCTAATAGTGCTTTACTGGCAAAAAACCACTTCACCAAAAACACCTACTGCTATAGTTTTAAACTTTTTTCTTGGTTGTCTCAGACTTTTGCACGGTACTGTATAAAGACACACACTAAAACTCTAAACTGAATATGATCATCATTATGAGATGATTACATTCCTCCTCAAACACTATTTTAACCAACGTTGTTCATAAGTGCCTATACTGAGACTTCTTATAGCCATACTAATAAAAGGAGAAGTCAAGGATGAGTTAGTAGCCAAGAAAGTGCTGAGAGCGAGCCAGGGCGATATTAGTCAAAGCAGTTTTTATGTCGCCGCCGATAGCGCCAAAAGAGTGAGGCTCTCCAGTGAGACTGCCTGATGGTTTCCTTTGTAACAGCCAGACTGCAGAAGGATGAATGAGCTGTTAACACGGCCACCCAGCACTTGGGTTTGGATATGAGTGCGGGCCGACGAGTGAGATCCAAAGCTCGGCTGCGCCCGAGTGTCTGCGCTTCATTCGTGGATGACTTTCCTCCTGATACGAGCCTATAGTGCACCAACAGTGCTGTACAAACACTACCCTGAGGCCTTTAACATCGACATGTGCATCACATTATATATTTATATATATATATATAAAATGTGATGCACATGTATAAAATGTGTATAAAAAGAAACGTCCCAAAATGAGCTGGAAAAAGTCTGGTTCCATTGACTTACATTAAAAGTAAAGTACTTTTTTTTCTTATTCCTGTAAAGTTTTCATTGTGGAGATGAAAAAATTCTATCATCAGCACACTAATCTTTGATAACTGTACACAAACTTTACAATTTCTTAGTATTTGGTATGTCTGCCTTTTGCTTTAATGACACCTTGATGGTGTGACTTTTTTTTATTTATTTATCAGTGACAGTTTATTTGAAGGCTTCCTAGATAGTGATTAATTAATAACCCATATATAGAAGCATTTAATAATGCAACACAATATTTAGAACAGCTAATGCCAGAGATCGCTGAATAACATGTTTTATAAAGTGAATGATGTTTCAAAACAGTGTTATCAGTGGAATAAATGTCTATCGCTTTACTTTAAAGCTCCTTATGTCAACACAAGGTCATTTACTTCATAAAACATTTAAGATCATCTTGCAATTACTGGCATAAGCTGTTCACCAATACTCAGGTTTGTTTATAAATATGCTATTCGATGCTATGACATTTTTATGTAGGTAGCTTTTAAATAAAGTGTTACCAAATGACCTGTTTGTTAAACAAAAAGGTAAAATCTTTAAGCACAGAGGATGAAAAACCCTGTTTCTCAGGAGCGGGCAAGCATCACATCCAGAGTGGAGAGCACTCGTGCCCTAGACAGTGTTTATATGCAAATAAACCGCTGTTGATTTCAAAGTAAGTGTTCGCATGTGTTCACTGCGTGGAGAGGGCAAAAGGGGAACTTTCAGATGCTCGGCCTCCTGGAGCATAAAGTTGCAGGCTTAAGAAAGTGCTGCCTAAAGCCCAGGTTCCTCCTGGAACCGCCATAAATAACTTTGATGGAACGTGACTTCAGACCTGCCTCGCTGTGATCAGGAGCCAACTTCAGTCATAGAGGTAATACGGTAATACATACTCGGATAGCATTAGCATCCAACTTTGACTGTAGCAAAACCTAATTACTATGGAGTTTTATGGAACCTTCTCTGCCCATTTCTGTTCTAGAACCTTCTGTTTCTGCCCTGTCTCAGTTCTAGAATCTTTTGTCTCCAGCCTGCCTCCATTCTAGAATCTTCCGTCTCCATCTTGCCTCAGTTATAGAATCTTGTCCCCATCCTGTCTCCATTCTAGAATGTTTTATCTCCATTCTGTCGGCATTCTAGAATGTTCTGTCTGCATTCAGAAGGTTCTATCTCTATCTCTGAATGGAGACAGTTTGGAGACAAAACATTCTAGATAGAGACAGCTCACCTTTGTTCTAGAATCTTCTGTGCCCAACCTGCCTCTGTTCTAGAAAATTTTGTCTCCAGCTTGCCTCTGTTCCAGAATCTTGTCTCCATCCTGTCTCCATTCAGAAGATTCTAGAATGTGTCTCCAGCTCGCCTCCATTCTAGAATCTTCTGTCTCAATCTTGCCTCTGTTATAGAATCTTGTCTCCATCCTGTCTCCATTTGGAAGGTTCTATCTCTGTTTCTGAATGGAGACAGGTTGGAGACAAAACATTCTTGAATGGAGACATGATGCCTGTTCTAGAATCTCCAGCCCATCTTTGTTCTAGAATCTTCTGTTTCCATCCTGCGTGTGTTCTAGAACATTTTGTCTCCAGCTTCCCTCTGTTCCAGAATGTCCTATATCCATCTTCATCAACCTTGACAAAGCCAGGCGCAAAACCCAACTGTTATGGAATTCTGGAACCTTCTCTCTCTATGTGCTATTTCTGTTCTAGAACCATCTGTCTTTGTCCTGTTTCTGTTCTAGAGCCTTTTGTCTCCAGCCTGCCTGTCGGTTTGTCAACTTCGGACATATAAGCAATATCTACTCAAATAACTTAAGAATTTAACTTTGACAGGGACAGACGCAAAACCTAATTTGTTATGAGGTTCTGTCTTTGCCCTGTCTAGAACCATCTGTCTTTGCCCATTCTCTGTTCTCTCTGCCTTGCCTTTGTTCTAGACGTTTCTGTCTCTTGTACCTTGTTATGCTTGTCTATGTACCGGCTTTTCCAAAAGTCTTGCCTGTCCCTTCTTCTGTCTTCATCCTGCCTCTTTTCTAGAATATTCTGTGTCCAGCCTAGAGGTTCTAGAATTGAGACAGGAAGGAGAAAACTTTTCTAGAACAGAGACAAGATGCCTGATCTAGAATCTCATGTGTCCGAGATGCCTAGAATGCTTCTAGAATGGAGACAACCAGGCATGTTTCCTGCAATTCTCAGCCATGTTCTTGTGCTTCCTAGTTCTTGTGTTTTCTTGATTCCAAGTTCTCCATGTTTGTAGTGTTCCAGTTTTCTGGTCCCTTGACTTGTAGTTCTCTATTTTTGGTGTCTGGTTTTCTGCTGTTCCTTTCCTAAGTGCTTCCAGTATTCTCTGCAATTCTGAGCCATGTTCCAGTATGTTGTAATTCCTGTATTTCCAGAGGTCCATCATTCCTAGATTCTCTGCTGCCCTGTTTCTTTTTTCCCCGAATTACTGTCCTTTTTGGGCTATTTCTCTGATTTCTGGTCATTTTTAAGTGTTAACCCTATCTCCCAGTGTGCTGACACCCACAAAGAACCACCCTAATAAACAGAACTGCATTGTCCCATTTCTGGCTCTCACTTCTGGCTCCATTAATCAGTAAGTCGTTGATCACATTAACAGTGTCAATGCAGCCCCACTAGTGAGGTACTGTAGTTGCTCACTGCTCATCTTCTACACAACTGCTTAATATAGTTCTGCTACAACAGCATAACATAGTTCAACCTTATTAGGGAGGATGAAGATAGACAGTCATTGTCCAGTTAGGTAATACTCACATCTCAGCCATGCTGTTGGGCAGATTGGCTGGGATGGCCGTCAGTCCTTTGCCCCTGCAGTCCACGATGTTATTGCTGCAGGTGCACATGGCCGGACAGGAGCCAGCAGCTAGATTGCATGACTGGGGGCTGGAATTTTCCGAATGACCTGCAAACATAGACAAATATAGACAGAAGGCATTTTAAGGAAGTATATATTATAGTTCTGTAAGATATACAGGTATTTATTACATACACCATTTTTGCCTTTTCCTTGCATTTCTGTGTATTAGAGAACTGACTTGAGCAAACTGACAAGGTCCAGAAGACCTTCAGAACCTTACCCTACCTACTTTACCATTGGTTCACTGAATAGAAAAGTACAAGTCACAATATTAAGAGCGCAGTAGTACTAAAAAGCTTCTGAGGCTTCTTTGATGCTCCTTTTCCCATCACCAGTAAGGTGACAAAGGAAGATGGAACCAACATCTAAAACTTTTTAATTCAAATGTACATCATGACACAAGCAGATTCCTGGCATCGTCCAGCATTGCCCAGATAGAAGAGATTATGGCCATGGGTGAAACTAATTTCCTTTCGTCACAACGGTTTCTACAACAGCTGATTAAAAATATATGCCATTGAATCGTAGATAAGAGTGAAGTGAAGATCCCGACTTGGAGCTTGGTGAGAAGAGAACAACGGAAAGGGAAATGGAAATGTACCACCAGCGCATGCTACTCTGGAGAACGCTTCTGTTGTGATTCCAAGGACGAGTCCCGTCAAATCACCTCTGTTCTCATTCGTTGCATATTAGGGGTGCATTCGTGCAGTTTCTTGATGTGGTTCTGCACCAGCAGGCACTGTTGCACCACCTGAAGGAAGGCTTTGAAACGCGCACATTCAGCGCTTCTCGCGAAAGCCTTATGTCTTACATCTGAAACTGAAGATGCAGCCGATTTGCATAGAGTACAAACGTCTCTCTGCGTTCTCTCCTGATACCTTTCCACTGTCGGCGTCAAAAAAAGGCGACACATCTGATACCCTGTCGACGGTCTAACCCAGAAAACGAATAAAACAGACTTTGAAATGGGCTGATTTGTGCTGCGTTTCGAATCTGGCTCTTTGGAGCCTTTCGGTCAATGAATATTTGATTTGCCCCTCGCGCGCTCTCTCTCTCCCTCCCAGAGTTCTGGTTGCGCCAGCTGCAGGCGGCAAGGCTGCCTGCTGGTTAATTCATAACCAGAGAAACTCATCCGGCAGACAGGGAGAGACTGGAAAGGCGCCCGAGTGGCCCTGGCAGCTGGGAAACTGGGAGAGAACGGAAGGCACCTCAAAAGGCATCAAACCCTGGGACGTCTCTTCAGGAGCAGGAATTATCGGGAGTTCACGGGAGCATGAAAGTGAATTCTGGCTAGTGCTCACCGAGCGCCAGAGATGCATGCAAGTCAGGCACAAACAGATTTGGGTTATTGTACTATGCACATGTTGCTTGGTTCAAAAACCAGGCACATTGGCTGAAGTGTGCGCGACTGTCTGGCTGTTTCTATCAAACACTTTTCCCTGGTGTGTCTGGACCGTATCGACTGGAATTGTACACTAAAGCATTACGCAGCCAAATTCCTGGCACCAGCTCATGGCCCATTGCTTTAATTACAGCCATTTAAATACTTAGTCTATCATAAGAGTTTGCACTTGGCTGATGTGATAGATTAATAATAGAATGTAGATATGGTGCAAAGGAGCCAGTCAGACGTCAAGAAAACAAACAAAAAAGGAGAAATGATAATATACAGCGCCTTTGAGAACTTTGAGATAAGAACTGGTATTTGTTGGGAAGGTCATATGGTTTGGAGACCAATTAGACAGCAGCCTTTGGAGGAGTTGGCAACTTGATTACATCTCAAAACTCCTACAGACTTGTGACTGATTATTATTCGTGGAAAAGATAAATCTAAAAAAAAAATATTTGAAATAGTGTGAAAAGCTAGAAAAACTAAACTTCTCTGCCTGACCAGGACTGTGTGGGCATTTCAGACTGCATAGTGATTGACAGCCGTCTAGCCACAGTAATGTAAACAACCCCAAGGCAGCAGGTACCTTTATAAGCTTTTATTTTCTGGCAGAAGTCGGAATTCGTGTGAGATTTCAGATTACAGAGGTAAAGTTATGTTCAACAGGGAGCGACTATGGTAACCGTGGTGATAAGTGGTACTGACTAACACAAGTAGAGATTTAGCTAATCATCCAAACACCATTAGCTGGGAGGCTATGATAGGCAAGCAGTGTGACCATTTGACGACTAGCCAAACAAGAATTCTGCCTGGCAGCTCAGACATCCAGTCACAGTCTAGAGTGAAGGAACAGCTCTATCAACAAGCTGCTCTCTAAAGCTCAGTGGGACTGATCTTTTATGAGGTAGACAATACAGATACTTTCTTACTTGCATTAATGTCATTGTACTACAGTTAAGGAGTGTTTTTTTCTAGTCTGCTTATAGGCAGCTGGTCAGCAGCCTTTGGTTTGTATGGTGTAGGGCTGGCACTGACAAATTCCGATCAGTTTGAAAGATTACTTGATATCAGTGTCCCACCCAATCCCACCCAACTTAAATCCAACCAGGGTAAAGAACTCTCTTAATTGAAATGGCCTGCATTGCTCTTTATTCGGCAGTCAACAGAGCATTCACACAGGAGCCTTTAGCCCAAAGCATAAACAGATGAATAAAACTGACAAATGAAATATTTGTTTTCCTTCATATTTCCCCTGCAGCGCTAACTATTTCTGCGGAAAGAGATCTCGAGTAGCCGGCCCTGAAGCCCAAAGTGTCTGAGAGTTCCGCTAGCCTCCATCTGAACAACACCATGTGTTCCGCTCACCCCTCCATCCCACCCTAAATCCCACACAGGTGTCCTCTTGTGCACACACATACACACACCTCCTCACAGCAAAGCGGCCAACATGCGTTTATGTGCCAGCGAGTCACTCGGTAATGATCTCTGCACTGAGAGTTCATGTGCTGGTCAGGTCTCTGGTGACATGGTGTAAGTTTGTTTGCGTGTGTGTGTGTATTTGGAGGCTACAGATGAATATTCAACGAAATTCTCAACACAATTTCACAAGGACAGTGATCTACAACGATATAGTGAGGCTGTTTCATGAAATTGGGAGTGTAATGGGCAACTATGAGATTGGGTGATAATTTCCACACGGAAAGTTTGCATCCTTGTTTATTAATATCAATAAACGCTCACTGCCCTTTTGATGTCCACCTTCCATATACAGTAGAGTGCAAAAGCCTTTATTTAATTTCCATTCAAAATGGCTATTAAGTACAAGTTACTCATTTTTTCAGTGCTTAGTGTGTCCACTCTACCTTTTTTTTTACAGCTTCCTTTCTTTTTCGGAAAGACTCGCTTTCAATTTCTCAAAGAAATCTGCAGGGATATTTTTCCACACCTCCAAAGTTCAGTCTTAGAAATTGAGACAAGTTCAGTCTCAGCAAGAGATGAGCTCTAACTTCACATCTACAAGGTGGACCAACAAGGTAGGAGTGTAAGTGGACAAAAACTCCAGCAGCACTGCTGTGTCTGATCCACTCGCACCAGCACAACACACACTAACACACCACCACCACGTCAGCACTACTTCAGTGCTGAGAAAGACCCACCGCCCAAATAATAACTGCTCTGTGGGGGTCCTGACCATTGAAGAACAGGGTTACAAAGTATGCAGAGAAACAGATGGACTACAGTCTGTAACTGTAGAACCACAAAGTGCTCCTGTATGGTCAGTGGAGCTGATAAAATGAACAGTGATTGTAGATAAAAGCTTTAACTTATTTAATTTCCAGTCAAAATGCCCAGTAATTAGATAGGACAATCCACTTGCTTAAGAAAGTTTAAGGAAAATAAGATGAAAGAAAACAATACTGGAGTTAAAAAAATAATAAAACATACAAAGAAAATGGTGCTAAGAACCATGCATGAACTGGAAGGCCATCAAAACTGTCCCCAGCAAATAAACCATACTTAAAAGCTTTCATTTTTCAGAGGTGGGAGAAAATCAAGCTGATCACTGAATGTGTTTGGGATTATTTGGATTGTGAAAAGCTGAAAATGCAACCAACTTCTAAGACTGAACTTCGGAACAGAACTCAGACTTTTGCATAATGCTCAGCTAACTTGCGCTTAATGGCCATTTTGAATGGAAATGAAATAAACTAGCGGTGGACTTTTGATCCATGCTTATTTCTCCTCTCCGCCATGAGAGAGAGTGGAACCTGAGACGTCAGATGGCGGCCCTAGCTCTCAAACACTCTGCTTCTCATTCATCCTCTGCTGTGTAGCCTACTCATAGCTCCTTTCTCGCTGTCAATGAATAGTTCATGTCCTGTCATGCTGCATGCTTGCGTGAAAATCACAAGGCATGTGAAAAGGGGCCCGGCCCTCTCCTCAGTCCCCAACCTGCGCTGTGCTCCCAAACTCAGCTGCCGTGACTGCCGCTGGGTCATGAATGCGAGGCCTAGTTCTGTCTAAATGTACCTTGTCCTGTTAGGTTGAGAGCAGCGACTGTAACTTCACTGGAGGCCCCAGGGTCTCCAAAGGAGACAAGCATGGTTGCCGATTCTCCAGGAAAAGCTTGCAAACAGCTCGCTGCTTCCTTTGACTGAGGAAGCCTGTCAAAAACATGTACTTTATCTAGAAATGGCAACTTTAACTGTTAAAAAATGAAGAAAAGCAAAGGGAGCTGCTTGGTGGAAAATAGCCTTCTCTGCATTTTATGTTGAAGGCTCCCTTAAAGACACCATTGATGTATCGATACATCAGCTATACTGTGATATTGACAGCTTTTCAGCTTCAGTAACATTTTGAGCAGGGCTGTCAAATTATTAGAATAACTCACATTAATTTGATTAATCATACTAGTTTGTGTGATTAATTGCGATTAATTGCATTTGTCTTATTTGTCTTATTAGCACATGCTCTACAGTGAACAGACTTGAATAGATGCTTTGTAGACACTTAATTTACTTTTAAATTACATTCAACTAAATATCTACTAAATTCAATATAATGTTCTTTAACTCTAAACCTGGCTCTAATCCTAACCTTCACCTCAACCCAAAACCTAAACCCAACCCTCACCCTGGTCCAAATCCTAACCCTAACCCCACCATTGTTTGGAATAAACTCATAGTTGGTTAACAATTTGAACATCTGTAGATAATCTACATGAGACTATAGTGGACAATTAAAATAAAATAAAGTGAGCATTTTTCTACAATTTTTCTTGCACTATTCTATTTATTTGCCAAGTTTAATCACAAAAAGAACAATAAAAATTAATAATAATAATAATAATAATAATAATAATAATTCCTGTTGATGCCCACAACTACTGGTCCATTCTTTCTGTAGCTACCAGTATCCATGCATTTTGAGGGTTGTTGGACCTCAGTAAGACAGATTCAGAGGAGCTATGTGGTTCCAGAAACCATCAAACCCAATTTGGAGCCCCTGGAGCACATCTGCTGTTATGGTTAGAGATGACCTTGCAGACCACAATGGTTCTCTGCGGCCTCATCATACATCTCTGGTGATAAAACCAGAGCAAGACGGGCACCCACACCCCGGCCTCCTCGGGGGAACACAAACACACCACCTGGATCTCCATTAACCCTGCAGAATCTGGCAGAGAATCAGGCACATTTTACCACTGGTTTTTAGCTCTTGGCAATCCCACCAGCTGTCTCCAGTGTGTGTAGGGATGTGGATATGTAACGCTAGCATAATTGTTGGGACAGTTAGTCAAAAAAAAAGTAATCCATAACAGATTACTGATTACTTCTCCCAAAATGTAATGAAGATTACTTTACTGATTAATTTTACTTTACTTCTGTGTTACTCTCCACAGATCTGTACCAACTGAAAAGTGCAGGAACTAAATTTTTCCCCAAGTCATCTTGGACCATTCTGTACATAAAAATGGAGATACAAGGTTTTGTCCAGTGATGGTTGTGAGTCATTTGGAGCCAAAAGTTCATAGTATAGCTAGCCTATCATTTATGCTCATACAAGACTAAGACAGTAAACGAGGGTTACCCGAATCTCATATGAAAGATTTGCGACTGACTGACCGATGTGTAAGAGCTCTAATTAACAGCTACATTCTGAGCTAACTGACTCGTTTGATACCTGAGAACTCAAAACTCAAGACTACACGGTTAACCTGAGGCTTGCGCTCGACTAGCATATTGTGCCTGGCCCCCAAAAACGACAGCTGGGAAGGCGGTGAAGCAAGGTGGGCAATTACCTGAGCAGGTGAACTCGTGTTTCTGGATCTCAGCCACGTTGATCCCGCGGAGCTGGGCCGGGGAGGAGCACTGCGTGAACAGACCGAGGGTGGGCCTCTGACGCAGCCACTGGGACAGCCAGGAGAGGTGGCAGTCGCAGTTCAGGTTATTCGAGTGCAGGCGGCTAGAGAAGGAAAATCCAGACGTAATTAGGGGGTATGGACATAGCAGATGTCACAGGTTCATGTGCAGCTGCGTTTATAAACAGACCGGTATGAGACGACACCCTGGACTCTTCAGCTTAAAAGGAAAATGCACTCATTTTTCAAAACGTCTGCATAATTCAACCCCCAGGATGTAAAGAGAATCATTCAGACTGGTTTGGAAATGGTGCATTGCAGAGGAACAACTCTGATATCTTTATAATGGCATTAATAGGAACCAGGGACCATTTTATTAACTATACATATTGCCTGGTAGTAAGACAGCAGTAAATCAAAATAAGCTTCCCTTATTCATTTTACTGAAAAAAATAAGTTTTTAGGCCACCTATTTGTAACAATTTCATGTGTGAGGAGGCTTCTGGAGGTGGACGTCTGGTTTCTATCACCACCACTGTGAACGATTCTGACTCAGTAAGCTTCTCTAGAACAGAACATTTCACACCAAACCGCTCTGAATGACTGTTTATATCTTAATGATTTCATTATGCAGAAATCTGCCTTTGCATATTTCCCAAATCCTCCTCCTTCTTCGCAGTTCTCTATGTCACGTAACATATTGCAAAATGTGTGCAAAAATCTTGCTGCATTTAAAACATCCTGCATGGTTGTTGCATCCCTAGTATACAATTACTCTATACTAGGGTTTCAGACCTATTGATTATTGCTCCTCTGGCCGAAGTGAAAAATGGAACCATTGCTTTATTTGTTGAAACATGCCTGTTTGCCTCCTACAGTGGTGCCACACTGGTCTCTAGAGCTAGATTTCCCAGACAAATGACTACGAAACGAGACTCTTCTGATGACGTGTCTTGAAGGTGAGAGAAACTTTGGAGTGGTTAGTTTGAAATACGTTCTTCTTCTGCAAGCTGAAAAATGCAGACTAGACAAAAATTCCGTTTGAGTCATTCCCCAGTTGGAGGGGAAACCATGTAACAAAGGTCACAGGGCTTACAAAGATGCTTAAAATTTTAGGCACAGCTCCAAAAGTCGGTATGTACATTTACACAGTTGATCTAAGATTAAATAATACTTTTCCCTTTTTTTATCCTGTTTCATAGTCGCTCTGCATCCGTTTAACAGCATGTTACAAAAACGATTTTCAACATGAGAAACAGGTTTTAATATAAAATAATATTTTTAAGAGGTTAAACTGAAAATTGTATAAAACAGATTCATGTTTGCTTTTTATATCATTAATGTTATAGTACATTTAAAAAATATGTATTTTATTTTACAAATTCATGCGTCACAGAGATTGTGGTCACTGCTGTTATCAGGACTCTTATTTTACATTTGAACACAGTATTTCCAGCTCTATTAAACTGCTTCTTTGGGTCGAGGCTCATCAGAGAGGAAGCATTTTAAGGCATGAGAAGGCGAGTCACACTCGCTCACTATATTTCATTCATTTATTAACAATTTTGTTTATCAGGCAGCTCATAACGTCTATGTGTCACAGGTGTTATACATTTTAATGGTTGGGTCATTAAAATTTTGTCAAAATAATGCCATTAATATCATTTTTATTACTGATTTTAAATATATAAGGACACCTGACCGACAACGAGTCAGCCAGTTTACAAAATCCTCAGTTTTGCCCAGAATGTCACTGGAGTCAGTCACTGGTGTTACACCATATTCATACAACACCTGTAAAATATGTTTGGAATGAAGCTCTCCTTTTAGCATATATGATAATAGGAGATGCTAATGGACATATTAAGATTATTTAGTTTCAGCATGAAAGAAACTGATTTTTTAAAAAGTGTATCCACCTTCATTCTCACTACAAATGGAGAATTAGATGTATTGGACTCTGGCAACGTGTGTGTGGGTGTTGGGGGGGGGGCTGGGGGGTTCCCAATGCTGTGTATATGCTACGTATAATGAATGCTCGGAATTGTAGTGAGAGAACATTGATGGATAAAACACAAAAAGGATATAAAACCATGTATTCTGTCACACTGGTGATGCTGAGGGATGCAACGCCACAGTTAAATACTGAAATGTTGTAGGCCAGAATGCCCCATTGATAAGTGCTAGGATTAGTGTTTGGACTTAAAAGATCTCTAATTTCATAAACTGAATGTAATATCCAGTGAAGAAGCAGCAGAGGAATAACAGGACCACTATTATTACTCATTGTCCTCATATAAGTGGAGAAACAAGCCACTGGTTTTGTCTGGATTTCATTAACTAAAATCATTACAGTCTATTCTTTCCTCAAGACCATCACATCTCGGCAACTTTGATAAAAAACCCAGAACGTTAAATCATATCTATAATCTTGTCTAATGTCCTGTAATCTGGAACTGCGCTTATTTCCCAAATCATAACTCCTAAATGAGCGAAAACCAAAATGCGAGTCAAATTGTGTGCGGTAGCATTTTATTCCCCCACTCTGGCATTTTAGTGAAGCACGCCTTAAGTTGAAGTCGAGCTCGCCTTTATTTCAACACGCTTTCACATTTCGTAAATATATTTAGACAATAGTGTCAGAGGGGGGGTATTTATTTTTGGGGCCGCTCGCTAGGAGTCTTCCAAAGATCAACTGAGGAAATGGTTTCTGGCACCAGTACAAACCCCAGTGTGGCCTATGGCTGCCCACCAAGACTCCGTGGAATGACATAGTGTGTGTCTTCTGGCCTGAAGCATTGTGGGACGGTGGTTTCGCTAGCTGCCGGGCTGCCTGCTGAGTAGACCAAAAAGAAGAACCCCTCTAAGTAAATAAAATGTCATAAAAGTCGGAGGATTAGGGCCCAACGGGACTCTGTTGCTCCAAAAGGAATCTTTCAATCAGCTTTTGTGGCGAGGAAAGTGCCATGAGAAATGTTTTACTGACTGAAATGACTGCAATCTGTCATGGTGAAAAATATTTTCCTTGTCAGCTAAAGAGGACTAAAATGTTTGACATGGAATGTTTGAGAATGTGAAGTGAGTAAGCACACATCAGCAGTGCCTGTACTTAATCTCTTCTGAATGCCTGATTTACAACCTAAATACTGCCTTGAAGATAAGGCCGATTGGAATGCACTTTGTATTGAATGATGGTGTTGTGTACTAGTCCAGTGGTGTGGATCATTACTCACAGGAGTTTCAGTTGCAGCTAAGACCCAAACTATGTAACAGTCCAGGTCGATCTGAAGGTCAAGGTGCTTTGAGTCTCAAGAAAAAATGGGCGATTGCGTTTGTATAACGTATAGAAGCAGCGGCGGACCATGACTATTGAAGCTAGGCCTTCAATTCGAGGCATAAATGTTAAAACTTGGCCAAAACATCACATTAAAAACATCTACGATAATGTTAACATCATAGCATCTCTATGGGATTCTAGTGCTAAACTAACAGCAATTCACCTGAATATTAAACACTGACATTTTCTAGCTTCCTATGTCACTTTGCAATTATATTGATGGTTAATTTAACACGTTAGGACTTCTCTTCAGCTCCTGAAGTTCTGACCAATGGGAGAGCTTGCTTAGCTGTATCTACCTAGATAGCACAGAGAAAAACAATGACTGACTGGTCAACTTTCCACTTGCTGTTTCAAGGCTTCATTTCCAACCAAAACTATTAAAATAGAAGCATGATATAGAGCATGGATTGTTCCCAAAAATCATGAGGGTTCCACACTACTTATAAGCCTAGAGTTACTGTCATTTTGACATACTATTTAAATATATACATGCAATGCTATAAATAACAAGAGTGGTGAGTAGCGAATCACATTTACATTCGATTTGATTTTGCATTGACAGATTTGCATCATTTTTTTTTTATTATTTTGTCACCAAACAATGACAAAATCAAGTCTTCTTCTTTCCACAAAACAGGACTATATGCAAAACACCAGTCTAGTTTTTCAAATTCAAAACATTATCTCCTCTTCTACTTACAAGTAGTGCTGAGTATTGTCCATTTCGTTACTGATTCCTAAATGACACTTTTTCAATATCTTCTTTAAAAATGGGTGTCTGACACTCAAACTGAGCGTATTAACCGAACAACTGTTCTCTAATCAAAAAGTACTGACGTAAATAACATGCATGCAGAATTACCTTGTACCTAATAGACCTTGGAAGCAGCATGCTTTGTTGGCTCACCAACACTGATAAGACCGATTATTTAGATATTGCTATTTAACATCGAATGACATGGAATTAGGCCTGTGATCAGTGACAGATACCACAGCAAAAACCCACAGTGACAATAAAAACTGCAAATTTTCCTGCAGATTGAAAAACAATCAATTATTTATTGATTTATTTCATTCAAAACCATCGCAAGACACTAATATTCCCACACATGAACATACCAGAACTTTTAAACACATTGGGTGATATCTTACATCACATTTGCTGTACCAAAATACAGATGAAAATGTGGCTGTTGAGCTGCACTGGTTGAACATGCTCATGGGGAAGCCTGGGGAGCTCTGTGTGCCATTGCACCAGGCAGATATTATGCCTGTACAAAAAGCCAATTATGGTTATGATGTGCTTTTCTAATACATCCACAGACCACAGCGTCTGGTTTCAGACATCTGAGAAAACAGCTTCAGGTCTCGGGGGAAAAAAAAACAGCTCATGTGAAATGGCCTCAGACAAGCCGTCAAGCCAGGTGGCTGCATAGATCGTAAACAAGTTTTACTGGATGGCCCTAATATGATGTTATTCTAGCTTCAACTCATGTTATAACTGTGTTCGCTCTCATGTCTCCTTCAGAGTTAGGGACCGTCTCAGAATTACCAAAAGAAAAACTGCTGCTATTATTATTATTACACCCACATCCCCCAAACCCCCGCCTCAGTTTGCCTCAATTATTTTACACACGGTTACAGCCCCTCTCCACATTTCTTCCTCTCAGGGTTTCAAATCTTTCCGAGTCTTAAGGCTGAAATCCGAGTCAAAGTCCGAGTCATTGTCGTTGAAGTCAGTCAAGTTGCAAGCCTTTCTCGATTTTCTCGAGTTGAGTCCCAAGTTTTCAAATTTATGACTCGAGTTGGACTCGAGTCCAAGTCATATGACTCAAGTCCTCACCTGCGCTCTCTAGTATTGATGTAATTCGGTCCGTTTCATAAAATTATAAATGTTTTGTTTGAACGTTTAGAATCTGAAATTTTTCAGGCACAAATAAGAAATACTTAACATCAAATGAGATCATGTTTTTGTTATCGCTTGTGGTTTTCCAAGGGTTACAGATGGCGACTATGTGACTTGGGCTTTGGTGTGCACTGGTGTGCTGTATCTGTGCATTACTCACAAGGTCCTCAGCTTGGGCATGTGGTTGAAACTCGACACCGGTATGCCACTGATGTTGTTGTTGTTCAGCGTTCTGTGGAACATCAAGCAGAGAAGGCACAATTAAAACCAGCCATTCGTTCCGCCCAAGGCTCATTCACTGTAACTGACTCAACTCAGACCTTGCCACCCAGACTGCGCATGCTAAGCATGCTGATCTGGGATCAGTTCTCCTTTCCCTCCTACTATCATTCAGGTTCAGACTGGTTTGCACAGTACTGTTCTGGCAGCTTTTCTGCAAGAGCTAAAAGTAGTGCCTCTCCATTCTTCTACCACCTGCCTCTGTCCCTGCCTGTGCACCTCACACCCCTGGAGGGCATGTAACACTCTGTCTCTTACAGATGGAGAGGAATGAGGAGTGGAAGCCGGTCGTTACCCAGCAAATTAAACCCCGGGCAGAAATGTTAAAAGGTGCTCGGATTTTTTGAAATTGCTTTTTTTTGGAAAACGGCTGTTTACAAGGCTTGTGTAGGTTCACGAAGCCTCGTCAATGTCTAGTGGCGACTTCCTAATAGGAAGCAGAAATCTCCTCTGCTGCCCAGGCCTCTGCTGGAGGTCATTTTAATCAACCCATGCCCTGCTCTCTATCGTGCTACACAAACCCACAGCCCTGCTCACACGCACTACGCCGTCTACGCAAGGATGGCCACATTCCAAACTCCTCCTCGGCCTTTTGTCAGATTAATGATCCATGATGAAGATTAAACCTCAACTCTGGGTTAAATAACGGTGAACCTCAGATCTTTTGCTCCCATTATAGTCACTGGTATTATGGGACTCTATTAATTTTATGAGGTGCATTTAGATAATGAGATGGGAGCAGCAGCGGCGAGATGTGTGCACTTACAAAACCTCCAGTCCCCGAAGTGCACGGAAGGCTCCGTCCTCGATACAGCTGATGTGGTTCTTGTCCAGCTGACTGTGGAGTTCAGAAGAAATTTGAAGTAAAAAGAGTGAATCGTTTAAAAGGCAATTCCACAATTCTTTCAAAACCTTCGCATAAATCAATTATTGAGATGTAAACGAAGTCATTCAGAGGGGTTCAATGTGAGACCGTGCCTCATTGGTGGTGAGGGGAACCAGGGGGTCACACAAATACAGCCATTTTACACACTATCCAAAATGACCAGTGAACCTACACACCTTCTAAGTTTATATATAATGTAGAAGATGGCAAAACAGAGGTAAATCTGAAAAAATAGCCTTTGTTTTGGGACATTTTCACCTCACAAAGCCCTGCATGCACCTCTCCACCCACTCCAAACTGCTGTGAAACAATGCCTCAGGAATCAGGCCGCGGATCTGCAGCTATTTCATGTAACAGTTTTCCGCGAGGCACCTTTCAGGGCCCTGACACACAAAACCAAGCTGTTTTGAGCAGTATTTGAAGACTACACACCTAACAAGAAAATATTTAATACTGTTTTGAATAAACATGGATGTGCGAGCGTTCTGAAGGTGCCTTGACACCACAATGTCAACATAGTAGAGTATGGCATACTCACTGGATTTTTTACTGTATTGTATGTAATTCTGAAACATATGCACATTATATTTCACTGCATAACATACAAACATTCACTTTCAAGCAGGCTTTTTAGCCATTTAGCACTGAGGTAGGTTACTTTCACCTTCTCACTCTGGGTTTAGCTTAAACACAAACATTTAAAGCTTGTAAGACACTCAATTTGCATGGACCCTTTTACTGAGTTAGTTGAAACTGGTGTCAACAAAAAAAACTATTTTAAAAATTTAAAAGAATTCTGTTGTGATCTATTTAATCTCAAGGTATTAATTGAGATAGTAATAAGCTAAAAAAACAAATCATCACTTATTGGGTACCTTCTGTTGGGACGGGATCTGTCGCAAACCCTAAATCTCTAAATTTCAAGTCTGAAAATCGGTGCATAAACTTTAAATTGTCAAGACACTTTCTGGAAATGTGTCATTTTTTGTGTTTTGAAAGATGAGATTTTATGTGTCAAAGCCATGTTCGCTAGCCATGCCAGCAATTTTGAGTTCTGCTCAAAATGAGCTAAAATTGTCACTACCGAAACAGTCACCACTGAAACGTTTGGTAAAGCTTCGGGAACTGTCACGATTGTTTTGGTAGTGACAAAATGGAGTGTTCAATCTTTTGTTTTAATAATAAAAAAAACATAATTCAGGCATAATAATCAAGTCATTCAAAGCAGAAGGATTTTAGCCTAATTCTAAAGTCTGATTCTGAAGCAATTTGTTGCATTCATCCACAAATATGTTGTGGTTTGACAGATTTTGCAAGTACATCAGCATGTTGGTCATCAGCTGTAGTGTTTGCAATGTGTTTAAACCCAGATTTTCATTGGTAAAATAAAGGAAAAGATGAGTTGATGAAGCCAATCATTAAATGGCTTTAGTTGCTGCTAGTTCTCCTCTGTCAAATCGCTGTGATTGGGCCCTAAGAGGCATTCAAGGCTTCCCATCACCACCACTGTTAACAATTCTGACACTAAGTTTCTTTAAAACTGAGTATTTCACATTAAAACCCTCTGACTGACTGTTTACATCTTTACAACAATGACGTCCAAATTTGGAAAATTTCTCCTTGTAACGGTCACAAACCTACACACATTTTCAGCTATAAAACAGGATCAATACACATAATCTTAGACACATAATCAGCATGCAGAACATAACAATGAGTGCGACAAGACTGCAGCATGGCCCATTATCTAAAATCCCCTCATTATTCTTATGCCCCTATAATAACAGCCATTCCATAAGCAAGAGGTTATTATGGGTGAGAACTAAGCGCGCTAACTGGTGAAATCAATACCGATATAGTCTTTCTGAATAGTAGGACCACTTTGGGCTTGAATCTGTTCCCAATGAGTCTCTATGATTGCCCAAGTATGAATTAGCCTGTATTGATGCAGTCAGTGCAGAGGCAATTCATCACATATTTGCTTTGTTACAGAAGGTGCTTGAAACTTGAGGGTCTTTAAAAGTTGATAACTTTTTCCAACAATGAACTGTTTTGAAAATGAACATTTCTTTCTATTTATCTATCTATCCCATCAAAAGTTTGATTTTCTAAGTAAAAATAAGTGAACACGTCCTCTACAGGATACAAACCTAAATATGGTATTTTACTGCACATTTTATTTCATAACTTTTGCACAGGCCGCATTTCATGTTGTATTTCTCCTCAATATGTTAAATAATCTGTAATTGTGCATTCAAATTCTTCAGTATTTAGTGTCTTTGTCCACCCTTTCCTTCCACTCTTTTCAGGAGACTCACTTTCAGCTTTTCCAAAGAAATCTGCAGACACGACTCCAAAGATTAGTCTTGCACTTTCTGCTAAATTCCAAATTTAGACCCATCAGTTAATGAAACTACATTCCATATCTCAGATGTCCAGGTTTACTGTTGTTGTGCAAAATGTTCTTTTCTCTGTCTCCTTTTCTCAGTGAGGTTCTTCTTGAACAGCTACACATCCTTTCAGACCCACAGCGCTGAGTCGTCTTCTCACAGTGGAAGGATGGACAGAAACACCTGTGGATGTTTTCAGATCTGAAGCAGCTTGATTTTCTCCTCTCTCTCAAAGATGAAAGCTTCAAGTGCTGTTTATCTGATGGGGGCAGTTTTGGTGTCTACCAGGTATTCCAGGTTGTTGCTAAGAGTCCCATGCTTCTATGAACTTTTCAAAACTCCTGTTTTTTCACAGATTTTCCTTCAATTTGCCCCTTTTTATGCATAATCTTCCATTTAATCTCCTCAAAAATATCTTCTTCAGCCATTTTAGATGCACGTGTGATAGAAATCTAAGGCTGCTAAGCCTTTAGGTGTTTAGGCAGATGCTTGTGTGAATGGTGTCTAAAGGGAAACTATGTCAGTTTTTTGGGAGCTGTTGTTCTGGCAAGTGTGCAGCAGGCCCAAAAAAGCAGAGTGGACAAATGAAATGCTGAACCAATTTGATATTACATCTTATTGTTGTAGGATTCTGTGTATTTTTCTGTTTGATTAAGGTTTCCTAATTCCGGTCCCTGACTTATCGCAGTATATCCATGCATCTGTGTTTCTTTATGGATATATATGTGAACATGGTGAGTGTTTGGAGGTGAACTCACAGGTTCTTGATGTCTGTAGCTCCACGAAAGGCCTTGCGGGGAATAGCCTGGATGAAGTTCTCGCTAAGATCTCTGTAAAGAAGACAGACAGATTGATGTGTTAAGGCTAGACAGGTGGCAAAGTTCCAACAAAGCAACTCTGGAAACTCTGGAACAATCATAATGTTTTTTTACAGGTTTTCAAACATACATAATTAATAGAACAGTACATATATGCTGATTTAATGTCTGTCACCCTTAGAAATATCAATTCCAGCACACCAAGTATACAGAATGCCAATTGTGACTGCTCCAATGTGGGGTCCCATTCAAAGTGAAGAGGTGGACCCATTTAGCTGTTTCTAAAAGCCATTGATGGCACTATTTGTGAAGGGCGTTAGAGAGTGCTGATGGTGAGGGAGGTGGAGAGGGAAGAAGGGAAGAAGAGAGGAAAGTGTACGAACCAAATAAGGTTAATTAGCATGAGCTTTTGTTCAGACGCTCAATGGGGAGCTCGAGACTTTCAGAATACTGCATTTGCTGCACCACCCGCCCGCCCCCATACCCACTACGACAAACAACAGCGTACACACTTTCCCACAGAGCGGATTTTACCTTACTGCATCCTTTTTACCCTGAGCGTTTACCATAATCGATCAAGGACAGACATCGAATGCGGCCAAGCTTCCTATAGCACCTTAACGATCCATCTATGCGCTCATTAAAAGCAGCTTTACAAAATCCTTTACAAAACGCATCACCAGACGCGCTAATCTGACAAAATCCTTGTTCAAACTCCACTAATTAACAAGGCATATGCGAATCAGACGGTGTTTCGACACCAGTCGGAGACTGGCTGGAAAATGGAGAAATTGTTGCCACAGCAAGAGGTACCACCATCACTGGGTGGTTCTCTCTTCATGGTACAACAGCAATTAAAACAAACAGGCGTTGTCAAATATGCACTCAAAGGGTGAATCTGGGCTGTTAATGTGTTGTGTTTGGATAGTTCTTAGGCTTCTGTCCCGTATCAACCAACGAAAGTCAACAACCCGCCCTATAGGCGCGTTGTGGAACATCACTAAGGCAACTCTGCATTTATGTTTTGCTATATGGTTACTATACATGCCACGTCTTGTTGGAGCTTTAAACGGAAGCTTATACAAAAGGTGTGTAGGCCTTAGATAAACTACTGACAATCTATGCATTTATCTTGAAAAGCCTCCCAGTTTTCCTTAAACTGATTTTTTTTCTGCACAGTTAAATCATTATGATGTAAACAAAAGTCATTCAGAGTGGTTTGGTGTGAAATGCTCCGTTTTAGAGAAACTTACCCAGTCAGAACTGTTCACAGTGGTGGTGATAGGAACCAGTCGTTAAAATACCTGACAAAGATCTTTATGAATTTGCTTCCTGAGGCCTGAGACATTGTTTTATGGTTTTGATATATGCCTCTGGACTAAAAAGTGTTCAAATATATTCATAGTGGAGGTTCATGCAGGGTGTTGTAAGGCAAAATGTATATAAGCATTACATATAAATACATGCAGATGAAAGCAAATAAAATGACCATTTGTAGACATGACCTCTGGTTTCTATCAAAACCATTGTAAATTTGGTAAATTCCTTTACAATGGGACCATTTTTACATCTATGTGCTCAGAAACTCTGATTGACTAATGTTTACATCTAAAAGACTGAAATATGCAGGAATTTAGGAAAATAAAATGTCCTCAGGCACATATTCTATAAGAACGGAGAGGTCTCTGGGACCACTGTATATAAAAAAGACTAAGAAATAACAACTGCTGGCCAATTTGTTTGGAATTTCATACTGTAATGACTTGGACTGGGTAACTAAAGGAAATCGACTGTTTTCAGATTTGCACGTAATGAGCATTGGGTACAAAGGCAGACTGTCATTTCCGCCAGTGGAGCTCTGTTGGGTCTCCTGTAGTGCTGATAATTGGCATCGGCTCAACATGTTTTTATAGACTCGTTTTCTTACCACATCACTGATTCTGACTGTTAATTACCCTTCCTTCTCCCTCCCCGAAAGAAGAGAGAGCGAGAGGCCTAGTGCTTGGAACAAGCTTGTGTTGAATCTACTGTGCAAAGCATACGCGCTGCACAAATCAGAGGTAAGGCTAATTCTTTACCGATCTTAGCACACGGCTTTTACAGCCTGTACGTGAGGACAAAACTAAGATTCACACAGACATACTCTGGCAATAAAGCTAGCAGACTGGCAGGCCACATATGCGAGTGAAGCCAGTGGGAAGTGATGGGAAAATGGCTGCAAATCGGCATCCTAAATCCTGTTAGCACGCGTTAAAGCGATCGGCGGCCGTGTACAAAGCTTTCGGAGAGCTGCGAGGGTGTTAGCTTGAGTGGATTACGCGCTGGTGTCACGGGGGGCTAATTGCGTGCCTCGAAACGAGCTAATGAGAAGCCCGAGGATGACAAATGTGGCGTCTTCCTTCCTCTAGCGACTCACTCCTTCCCACTCTCTTCATGCATAATAGAATAATTACTGAGGCTGGGCTTTGTGGATCTGTTGTCTTTGGGGATGTATTGGCGGGACAGGCAGGTTTCCAGTGCCAGAGAAATATTAAATTTAGCAGCTTTCCATTCCTGAACTTACACCGATTCAAAAGGCCAATGAGGCACTGCTGTGGGTGACCATGATTTACTTGATGTCGTTGGCTGTGGATGTTTATCTGGAATGATGATTCGCTGTCTTCTGCTGAAAGCTTCATTAGTACTAAGCAGTGGTGGTCACTTAAACCACAGGATGACTGCAACAGTAAAGAATGAATCCGCTTTAGAAGTTGTAATGAGCAAGCGACAGAGAATTCTCCCAAGACAAGGCACAGTGAGAGGAGTTCGGCATCAGAACTGAGTCATGAACCCTCAGGAATGTCAAAAGCATTTACACATTCTTGCAGGTGTCTTAGGAAACAGCCCAAAACATAAGAGGGACTTTTAATCTTATGTAAAACTCTATTCTATGATCTGGGATTCATGAGTCAGCAGCCTGACTTTGGGATTAGTTTATGGTGCCGCTTGAGTTTCAGGCAACCTTAAACTGCTCCATTGTTGTCTTGCTAACCAGGGATAGTTACTACTAATTACTTCTCTCAAACAGAAATGAGAATACTTTACTTATTACCGCCTGGAATTGTTTTGCAGCATCACATACTGCATTGTTGCTTTGTGACTAGCATGTTAGCCTGTGGCTAGCTTGTTAGCTTAGGCCTAACGTATTATCTTAGAGCTAGAGTGAAGCCATACTGTTAGGGTGTCTTTGTTTTGTTTCAAATCTTGTACTTAAGTTGAAGAAGTCTAATAGACTGAAAACAGAAACATTAATATAAAGCACATTTTCAGCCACTCTTTTCTTTTTTAGCCTCACTGAAAACAGCATCGAATCAGGACCATATTGTATTGAGTCGAATTCTGACTTACACCCCTAAACAATTACTAGCATTATACCAGTTTCATTGTTTAATTTAAAACACAAATTAATGTTTCAAGTCAGCATGCACTCTTTTATTAGATGCTTTAATAGACAGACTGTTTGCTGAGTTTACAGTGGTTGTTTCTAGCCTGAGAATATCACTAATAATACATTTACAATGTACATACTTTCAGCATCCACTCTTGCCCTCCGCAGTTATCAGGATTTGTGTCTACAGTTCCATACTTAGCAATTTATAATATTAGATTAGAAGCATAAAGGTTAAGTCAGTAACTGTAATGAGTTACACTGTATTAACATTACTGTAATGTGTTACTTGTGGTACCATATTACCCGCAAACACAGTTGCTGACCTACTGAAATCTAGCTTTGCTGTGCAACGCCCTGGCCTAAAAGTCTTCTATTTATCTGAAGTCCGCACATTCTGGTTCAGAGGTTCGGTGCCTGCATTCCGATTTAACGTTCCAGCTGGCCTGCCCCAAAGGTTGAAGAAGTGGTCTGTGGCAGCACCCCAGACCAGTGGGCATTAAGCAAGCAGAACTAATTGGAGCTGGAAGCTGGACTTTGTAGGAGTGGCAGCCCCTTGAAGGCTGTGCCAGGCTGAGGGCCCAACGGGTTATCAGATCACTTTTGCTCTGGAGCGCAGCAGCAGACAGCGTTAAGTTACAGCAGTAGTGCTGGAGTCCACGCAGCACCCCCTTCCACACTACACAAAAAAACTCTTAATTATCCCATGGAATTTCGTCAGGGCCACTTTCACCCCCTCCTTAGCTTGCAGAAAGACTCACTTTGTCTGTACAGCTTTTTGGGAGGCTGGTGCACCAGCTGGCCACATAACACTTCAGCCCCAAAGCCACAGAAAAGTCACTAATGAGCCCAAAGTCACTGACCCAAAACCGCCTTCATTTCAATGGGAATACGCAGCACCCAGATAGAAGGGAGTCTAACAATCATAGGAGCCAGTAGTAATATATGCCATGGCGCCAACGACTGGGTGACTTTCTTTGCAGCCACCTGCAGCTGTTGTTTGATTACAGGTGTGCGCATATGAAGGTGAGGAAACAAGAGCCTGTTGCAGTGACCTCATTGAAAACAGAGGATATCGCACTCCATGATTTAGCAAGACGGTGAGGCCTACAGTTCAGATTTGACTCAACCTGACCAGTTATGGTTTTCACAGTCGGAGCCTTTATGATGAGGTCAATGCACGTTTTTTGAGGAACTCATTAAGCTTGAGGTCTTTCACAACAAAGCCAGCATACCTTTCAACCTAAAAGCATGTATCACTTCTAAATTAAGCCTACATTACTGTAATCTGACCAAGAACTTTCTAAACAGGCATATACGCAACACTTCACAGAAGTCATAGAGCAGGCTTTTTTTACAGGAACTGGGAAATGGGCCTAAAACCCACTAATGCCACTTAATCCTACTCAGGAAACGTTCTTAAAAAGGGAAGGAACTCTTAAAGCAACACTCCCAAACAGACTGCGTTTTACAGATCGACTGTTAACGACATATGTCATCATAATTATAGCGCGTTTTGCAAGCAGTGCTTTCATTCATTCATTTCAAGATTACGAAAAATCGCTCTGTGGAAGGCTCCCGGTTT